ATATCGTCCGCTTTCCAGAGCACGCAGCATCGACAACTTTTTGATTTCGCTCAACAGCACGTGAGCCATTCGCCATTGTATCTTGAATATGTTGATCACAGGCTCCTGCGCCGAATTTCCAAACAGACAATTATCGTCATTGCGCGATCGTATCAAGATCAATTCCTGACGAGCGTTAATCACCACGCGTCTGTAATCCTCGCAAAATCCCAACAACATGTAGAGCGGTACGCAAAAATTGAAATGTCCATTCGCGTTGGTCGACGCATCCCAGCCGGCATTTTTCATAATCACGTTTCTATCGGATGATACCGTTACATAGTTTTTGAGCGTAGTAGTTATTCCTACGTTTCTATTGCGATCAATCTCAACGCGTCGAGTTCGTATCGAATCTCATCGAACATGAATGCGACGCAATTATTTCCCAGTGCCAATTCATTTTCTCCTTCGGCTGCTGGTCTGTTTTTCGTTAATTGTCCCTCGATGTATAGGAAACTCTCATGCGGCAGCGTATACAGATCCTGTTGTTGTATGGGTACTCTTATCTCGTCATTGTGTCCGAACGTTGTATTGGCGAATGGGTTGTACGTGTGAGTCTCAATCTTGACGATACGATCGTCAAAAATAGGTTCGTCACCGATGTGATGAGAACGTCGGTTATCGTTCAGCTGTTTCGCACCGCGAATCCCAAAGATTGCAAAAACGCAACGTTCGATGCGCTGAGTTTCTTTTTCTCGGATGATTGGATATTAGCGAACGTCAACGTTGTTGTTGATGTCGCTGATTTCGTAAAGATTGCGTTATCTTTCACGTCTTTCGATCCGTTCAACACGAGCATCTCATACGTTGCATACGTACGTTATCGCCGCAGCTGTCGTACATGCAATCTTACGGTGATCTCTTTTCCTCGAAAATCGAGCAATCGTCCGTTCTGGTTGACAACGCGTAACGTTAAATCCGTAATGCTCCGCGCGATGATCGGCAGGTAAATGATCTGCGCCGGCGTTTCCGATATCTTATATCCCGGCGGTACCCTCGGTGAAAATTCATGTATCGTATGAACGAGTTTTCCATTGTTGTACGCGCCCGCGGTCACGTTACATTCTACGCGGATAATATTAACGTTGATAATGTTAATCGGCATGTTCGATTCGTACCATTTTCCCGGCTCGAGAATACGATTCGAGAATCCTAGCAGCGATCCAATGTTGTCGGGTTTGCTAAAGTTTAATCTGTATGCGCATTTGATCTCGCTCCTCATCGTATTGTAATTAGCGCGAAGCACTATCGACTTCATAGTCACCGTCGTCAATGTGTTTCTTATCGCAATGTTTCCGTGAAATTGCACGTTTCAAAAATTCATGTATATCTCGCAACTCGTACGATCCCTCGGGAATCGTAATTTCCGCGTCGTCTTTACCAAAATAAAATTTATTATTCGAAGAATTCACATTCGGTATCGTGTGATAAGTCTCAAAATCCGTTAGACCGAGTTCGTATTCATCGTCGCTCAAATCTACAGAGGGCAAAAAGTTTGCCGCGAGAACGCTACTTTTCCCAGTCAACGTGAATGTCATAAACATGTCGACGAAACTGTTTAACGGATACTGAGTTAAATAGCGCGATATCCGTCTTTAAATTCGCACGCATCGATCGTTCGAAGAAACTGCAAGCACAATTGTCCGCAGATGCTCTGATCGCAAGTTTGAACAGGTGTGTGATTGTACTGTATCTTCGTTACGTTTCGTCCGAAATATCGCACCAATTCGATCGGTGGTCGAAGATTGCCGAAACTGTCGAAATATATAACGCGATTCCCCCTCTTTGCGTACGCTACCCAATGAGTACCCGGTCCTTCGACGCTATCTAATAGCGATTTCGGCTGGTCTACACTGACTGCACATTTCGGGTGTTGTATGTTCGGCTGGTCGAATGGTGCAGTCCCTCACTGGAGTTGCGTATTCGTCTGGGCTAAAGTACACCGCACAGGTGCATGTTGGGTGTACACAAAGTGGCTCTCACAAATTTGTTGGAGCCAGTTAGTGTAATCGGTAATTGTCGATAACATTGATGGTAATTTAGGTGAAACTACCGACGAGAAGATACTATTATAAAGACTGTCAGCTTTATCTCGTCGGTGAACTATCATGATGAGTGATTTATTTGTGTTGATGGAATTAATAACATCCTCGTCATCAAGTGATGAAGACGAATTAATGTATCTGGATGTAGTACAATGTAAAGAAAGCAGAGCGAAAGTGAAAAATTACATAGAAGAGGTTGTGCGAAAAATGTCCGAAAAAACAGTGAGTTTTGTAGGTTAAGTTTACTATTAATGTGAATTTTATTGTACAGAAAATGTTTACTTACAGTTTAAAAGTCATTTCCGAATGTCACGGGAGACGTGCTACGAAATAATTGAGAAATTCGAAAGATCAACATTCTATCCGAGTGACAGGTCTCATGGTGGAACGCCAATTTCATCAGCAGAAAAACATGTGTTATTGTTTTTATGGTTAGTGTAATAATAGTAATTTTTTATGATTAATGTAATAATAATAGTAATTTAATATAAAAGAAAATGAATTGAAGAAATTAACATCCATAGACATTGATTTTTTTCGTGACTCGTGAGTTTACGCCTTAATGATTTAATTAAATTAATGAATAATTTTTCTAAGTTCTTTCTGATTTTTCTTTCTGACTTTTCTTTTCTGAAATTTTTCGATGTTCTTTCTGATATCATTTCTATTGACATTTTCCATGTATGTAGCTTACATAAATGTAGCTTACATAAATTTTTATTTTCTTAAAATGAATGACAATTTCTTTTTATTTTCAAGGTTTGCGGGAAACAAATGCTCGCTTCGGCAAGTAGGAGATCGGTTTGATGTAAGCATCTCAACTTGTGAATGTGTGCTGCAAAGGGTGATGGATTTTCTGTATGATATATCTAAAGATATAATTATATTCCCGCTTACTTTAGAAGAGAAACATACTGTTGCCGAAAATTTTAAAAAGGTATAATATATATTCTGTTTTTAATTAATTATCTATTATACAAATAACTGTACTGTTTTTCAATCATTTCTATCATTCAATAATTAAGGCCAGAATTCCCTTTTTTATGTTTAAAACAAATTAATTTCTTTTTATTTTATATTTTCTTAAAGTTTATCTTGAAAATATTTCCTCTCAATATTATTCGGAAGGAAGTCGTGAGCGTACAGGTAGAAATTATTGATACTTTTTTTTATATATCCCCAAAGTTTAATATAAAAATCCCAGTAAGAGAAATAAAAATATACCCGAAAAAGGGAAGTGTGGCCTTAACACATATCGATATCATTAAAAAAAGTGTTATACATTTAAAAAAAAACGACGATTTGTTTTAGATTTCTGCTTTTGATAGAGTAATTGGATGTATCGATGGTTCGTACATCAACATTCGTACTCCTGCACATAAATCGCGGACGACATACGCAAACAGACATCATACGACAAGCATAGTTTTGCAAGCAGTATGCGACGACAGAAAAAGATTTCTTGATGTCTTCACAGGAGTTCCTGGAAAACTTCATGATAGTCGAACTTTCAAATTATCATTTTAAAAATAGAATATAGAGGAGATTTGCGAAAATGGAAGTTTTCATTTATTAGGTGACAGTGCCTATCCTATAAGAGAATTTCTCATAACACCTTACAAGGATTTCGGAAATTTAACACCGTCACACATAAAATTTAACGAAAAATTGTCAGCAACTAGAGTTAAAATCGAAAATGCATTCGGATTGTTAAAAAGTAGATTTCGGCAACTAATGTTATTAGATTTTCACACTGTTTATAAAATGAGTCGTTTCATTATAGCGTGTTGCGTATTACATAACATGTGTATTGATTCGAACGATTTATTTCGATGTGATGACGTGTTAAACGAAGAACAGTTTAATGAGCCAGTAGAACTTGAAGATAATGAAACTATATTAAGGCAACAGGGTGAAAGAAAGCGCGATGAAATCCGCAACCGCATGAATAGATGACTGCAAATGAATATTGTTATTTTATGTTTATAAATAAAAATATATTTAAATAATGTCATGTTTATAAAAAAAATACACTGCACTTACTATTCTTGCATGTGATGTTTTATTTAGCTCAGTATGCCGGAGAGATAGCATCGCAAATAAAAATTAATTCTCAAAAATTTAATAACATTTTTTTTCAAAGTACAAAAGTCTTAAACATACATTTGAAACACTTTTTAAACTCTTAATTCTATAGAATCTTTAAATTCTATCCAGACAAATGTACATAGTATGCGATTATATAAATTCCAGACAAATTTACATAATCACATACTATGCAAATTTGTCTGGATAGGTTCTAACACCTACAAACAATTTGATTGCATCGGGGATTTCAATTCTTATTTATATACTTATAATCAGGTAACATACAATTTGCTGTGTTGACTAGCATTAAGAGTAGTTAAATAATAATTTGCAACCAAAACTAAATTATGCTGGAAAATTGAAACTTAACTTCTTAAATTTCTTAACTATTTAAGTTCTTAAATTCTAAATCACATTTTTTATTGCAACTAAACAAAAATTACAGCCTTTTGCAAAATGTATATATTACTGAAAAGAATTTAGAGAACACCTAATTTTTCATATTATTTTAAAAGCCATGTAACGCGATAAAAAATAATGAAACAGTGAAATTAAAAATCAACATCTACTCTAATTTCGTCTTTTTTTACATTTGTTTTATAGTCATTTTTCATCAAATTATGTATGACTTTAACAACTATAATATATTTATAACTATACATATGAAAAGTTAGGCGTAAAATCTAAATCTTTAATCTTAAATCTTTTCTTTTCTTACTATACTAATCTTTTCTTAATATACTTATAACTATAAATATGAAAAATTAGGCATAAAATCTAAATCTTTACTTTTTTTCTTAACAATATTAAATCTTAAATCTTTTCTTTTCATGCATCCAAAGGACCAACTTGTTTTTCTATAAATTTCATTAAGAGTTCCATTTTTTCCTTGTGCCTTCTTTCTTTACCTTCTTCTTTTTTGGCGTAAGCTTCTTTCAAAATATTATTAATGGATGTATCCTCCTTTTTCTTCCTTTTTATCTTTGATTGCTTCTCATCATTGTCATTTATATTTTCTAGCAAGGAATTATCAGGAGTCTTTTTGTTAAGAATTGTACGTTTTGTACCCATCAGTACCTGTAACATAAATATAAAATGCAGAATAGAGAACATGTATTTCGCAAGAAAGTAAGAAAAATATGAATAAAACTTTTAGACTTTTAGATTATTGGACAGTGAAAGACAAATTAAAAGTTCATAAAAATAAATTATTAAATATGTATATATCAATAACAGTGAGTTTGTATAGTGAATATACATATAGTATATACACTTATGACATCACAAATCCTTTAATAAATTCATTTAGAATTAATTACTTTCCTTATAATTAATTATTTTTCAGTACAATACAGAATTCTATGATTGCCTGTTATTTTCATCAACTAATCAAATGATTTCAAATGAATTCTATTCAAATATATTTAAAATAATGTGAAACACAAAATAAAACATTACATTACAAAATGTAACTGATAAAATTAACTAAAAACATTATATAATGATATCTGTTTATTTACTTGATATACGAATATGCAATGTTTTAGCATGTACAAAAAAATAAAAAAAAATTTCTTGTGTTTTAAGTATCTTATATATTCAACTTAAAACATTACCTCTGGTAGGATACTGTCATCCTTAGTCGCTATTTCTGATAATTCCGCTTCATAAAGCACAGTTATACGATTTCGACCCGTTGAATTATTATTATTAACAGCGTCTTTCTTACGTCGCATTATAGTTTTATAACGATTCTGGCATTGCGACCAACTTCGAGTAATATTCAATTCTTCTTTCAAATTTTCCGATATGCGTTGGAACATACTTTTCACTGTCCTGAAGGTCTTGCGAGGGCCGACGGATGTCATGTAGTCGTTGTATTTTAATAGCAAGAATTTTGTTGCGGGTTCATCCCATTCATCGATCGATCTTCCTGTTATAACATACATTATTTATAGTGTAGTTAGTGTTCAATTTCTTATAAAGTAACTAATAGCATTAACAATATCTTTATCTTACCAGACTTTATTTCGTCAGAGTTTGTAGTTTTGATGTTATTATTTTCATGATTCGACTCGTCGCTGTCTACGATGTCGTCATCGAATGATTGAGGATGTTCCTTTTTCATGTGATTAAATATTTGGATCATTGTTCCCCACATATCGCAGAAACCACATTGCAGGATATCGGAATCATTATTATCTGAAAGCAATGATTATTTGTAGATATTTCTGTACAATTTTAGAATTTTAGGTTAGAGGAAAATAAATCTCTAAATATTGAATGCGTATTAAATTTTACATATTGATATAAGTATTTATGTTTTTATTACGTTTATTTATATACTCACTACTCGAAAACGAAGATGAAGCCATCGCGATAAATTTTGAAACTTTAATTTTCCTTTATCATAAATGTTGTATGCCGATTCGCGTCTCATTACTCTTTGTGTTCGGCTAAAAAGATATACACTGTCGTGGTGGTAGTCGAAATATCGAGTGCAACACTGCATGGGTGTACGCACTGCACACACTTGCACCAACTCTACACAGGTGGCACACCAGTGCAGACCAGCCGAAATCGCTATAAATTTACGATGCCGTTCTCGTTTTAATAAATACCACCGATCGGTAAAGAGTTGTGCATGAAAACACCTCTAAAATATGGAATGCGCATACGTTTCGCCAGTTGTAGCAATTGTACGTTGGTAGTTGCACCCTGCGGCATTTTTAACGTCTCTTTGACGTTTTTTTTTCTTCTCGTTGAGACTCCTCGTCCGTGTTTGTAAGGAGCGAGATATAATCCGCGACCTTCCATGGCGCGATTGTGACGTAGCATCTCTTGCATCTGACGTTGCGCGGCTTTTCCGTCGTTCATCGCCTTCGCTACACCCGCCGCTCCGCCGATCAGGGATCCGAGTGCACCCAGCATTGGTAGAATCGGCAATACGCCGCCGCATTTCGCTACCGGAAGTATCCGTTTCTTCGCAGTTTTCTTCTTCGTCTTCATCTTCGTCCTCTTCAAGCCCATACCGAGCTTCGTCTTGGCTTTCATCGCCGCCCAGACAGCTGTGGCAGCGGCTCTCTCAGCGAGAGTCGAATCTTTCGCATCGATACGATTTCGCACTTTCTCGGCGAGTATCCTATCCGCCACGTGTCTCTCGATGAGATCGTTGCTCCGAGAGTACGCTATATCGTGTTCGCGACACGCCGCGTCCAATAAATTTATACCTCGATCGCCTCTGGCTAATCGCTTCTGCAACCGCGTGCCTGGACTGCAAAACTGATAGCCGGGAATATGGAATTCGATCGGAAGCGCGTTTATTGCACGATTTAAGAGACCGCTGCCTCTTACGATTCTCGCTGACATACGTCGCAATCTTTTATCAACGTAGGCGGACCGTCGATGTGCGTTCGCTGCCACGGCTGGTTGTAATGTCGCATGCACGAACGATATTGTCGAACCTCCGGATCAGCCTTTATATATTCTGGAAGCTTGTCCTACAATCGTTCCACGTAATCACCGAAATTTTGCAGTAAAAGAATCTTCGGGATATACTGCAGTTGTTTGGCGGTAAGCCCGAGAATGTCTCTCTCGTCCGACAAAAGGAGAAACATTTTTGATACTGAGCGGTTTCGAGTCGAGACACCTCTATAAATAGGTCTCCCTCTCGCGATCATTCGCAAAATTAGTTCGAAACAGAAAACATGCGGTTCGTACGACAGCCTTTGACGATACGCGTGACGAATTGCGACGACGGATTACGATCGATGGGGAACAACGCGGAGATGCGCAGACACGGTACGATGCTACCGACTACTATACGCGCGATCGTTTGCGGTCCCTCGAATTGAATAAAACCAACGTTCTGATAAGTCTACTGGAAAGTCCACACGGTGTACGTTTCGAGAACGTGTACGTGTACTCGAAGTCGCTGCAACAGCCGAAATATCGATATCTGGAGAATTTATTGACGCCGATCGACGAAATCCTGCTACTTTACGTTCTCGAATAACAGTGATGTCATTCCACCGAGCGAGGCACATCCAAACTCGATTTTTGTCTTCGATGACGTGGCGTGCGACAAACAAGATACGATAAGAGAGTACTTCTCAGTGGATCGTCACTCGAACGTCGACTGCTTCTATCTTTGTCAGACGTACGCGAGAATACCAAAACGTCTTATACGCGACAACGCAAACCTGCTGATCTTGTTTAAACAGGACGGTACAAATGTGAAACACGTGTACAACGAAACGTGAATAGCGATATGTCGTACGAAGATTTCAGTGAATTATGCCGTACTTGTTAGCAGCAAAAGTACGGATTCCTAGTGATTGATAAGGACAGCGCGCTTACGAACGGGCGATACAGAAAAGGATTTAACATGTTCGCGATACCGCGAAACGATTAGTCGCTGCCGACATTCCGTCGAGAGGGGTGAAACGCTCGATACTCCGACAACATGACTGGAAGCGATAATATTTGCGAGCGTGAAAAGATTGCGCGGGAGATTGAGAAAACGAGCGAATCGATCTGCAAGAAACATCGCGCTTTGAAGACCGGTAAGATCGACGAAGATATCGTGGTCACGACCATCTTTCGGACTGGCTAAGATCGTCGACAACTCTAGCGCAATCGCGGTGAAAAAACGAGCCGGAGAGTAACGCTGACGCTATAATTAAAACGTTACCCATCAAGCAATACAAGGAGGAGGAGGAGGAGGAGAAGGAAGATGCGACACCGAAAAAGAGGAAATCGAAGGCGAAGCGTTTATCGATGCCGCGTATATCCGATCTATCAGATGCTTTACCGGATAAACCGCTGATATCTTCTACACCGTCCGCGACACCGAGAATCGCGCAACCCGCGATACCCGAATCACTCGCGATTGAAGATGTTTTCGAAACTACGGGCAACTCGCTCGAAACATCCGTTCGAAACATGTTACAAACGTCGGAAGATCAAGAGGTATTACGAGAGGACTTGGGACCACTGGGACAAAAATACATGGGCGCTCTTCTTAGCGGCGACGAAAGAAAAAACGCGATCGATCACGTGTACGGCGTCTATTTCGACGAGAATGGAATGCGTCTCGGTACAAACGATTCGACATTGACAAAGATGACTCTATAATCATAGACAATGTGAGATACATTGGTACACCAGGATTATACGAGTTGATCTTCAAGAGAATTCCCGATGACGTCGTATACACTGAGGACGATGTGCAAAAATATAAAAGCATATTGATGGCGACGAGTGCGCATAAACGTCGTCGATATGATGCGCAAGGTCAATTAAAGAGCAACAAGGGATACAAGTATAAACAAATAATCGCGCCGTTGATGTCGATCGAATCGAAAAAGAAAAAAAACGGGAATGGGAGTATTCACGCCTCGCGCGATGACGCTAACCGATAATAAGATCGATTACGTGCACTGGGACGAGCCCAACGAGCTAGTGGATCGCCTACGATTGCTCGATGCTTCGCGTCGAGCTGACCACAACGCTCACGACAACGAAATCCTGTCGATCATAGAGGAACTTCGCGAAGCCGGTCTTATTATGAATTAAACGGTGTCTCGACGAAACTAATCAGTCGATCGACGTCACTAGCATCGAGAAACAATGCCTATCAACAAATTTGGATTATTCGAACGGAGAAACGAAGAAATCAGCACGAGCAATCATTGGAGTAAATTGGTGACGAGTTACTTGCGTCAAAACGCTCTGTGTCGCGTCGCTACGGACTATGACGCGAGATCGCGCAAGATTCGCCGTGTAGCGCAACCTGAGACTGATACCGATGCAGTCAACAAACTGTACGTGGAAGAATGCGTTAAAACGTTGAAGAATCGACAGAAAGAATCAGACGAGAAGCTGACTGCGTTCGAGAAGGACGTGCGAGCTTTGCAGACTGCGATAAGCGAGCTTCGTCGATTAACACTACTTCAGAAACGGCTATCAACCTGTAATGTGTTGTAGTGAACGGCTTAGGAGCGGCTATTGTACAATTATTAAACATCTAGAAAGATTTACCGAACGGCTACGAACGAGTTATCCAACGGTTATCGAGTTATAATGAGTGGCAATGATCGAAGAGGAAACGGCCTCGAACGAGGCTACGAACAATTCAAGAACAACTGCGAACGAGGCTACGAGCATCTCAAGGACGGCTGCGAACAAGGCTATGAATACATCAGGAACGGCTACATACAGTGATGGGAAAAAGTTCCGGGACGGCTGGATAATTTGAAAAATACGCATCACAGAGGAAAATGACCTAGACAAAAGTTGTAGGATTTTTCCCGGGCAATCCGATGGTGACCTTAGATTTGACCTTGGATAGTCATTTGAAGGTCACATAAAGATTACCTTCAATTTCTTAAATAGAACCCCCTATTTTTCATTGCATATTCTTGTAGCTCATCTCGAGAGCTTTCCAAAACACTATAATTAAGTACCTTTTTATTAAGTACTTTTTGAGTTATAAGGCTTGAAATAATTTCTTAATTTTACATAAACCATAAAATATCTAGTAAACCATTCATTTTTCGATTATCTTACCTTCATACTTTTATGTACAAAATAATGAGAGGAATCAATTGGTGTAAAGAAAACATACAGTTGTTTTTAAGAAAAAATATGGAATTGTTAATTGCAAATTACATATTTTTTCTTAGAAACAACTATGTGTTTTCTTTAAACCAATTGATTCCTCTCATTATTTTGTACATAAAAGTATGAAGGTAAGATAATCGAAAAATGAATGGTTTACTAGATATTTTATGGTTTATGTAAAATTAAGAAATTATTTCAAGCCTTCTAACTCAAAAAGTACTTAATAAAAAGGTACTTAATTATA